AGTGCACCTCCCCCTTCCCGTCATTGACGGAAGAATCTCAGAGGTGAACTGAGAGGGAATAAGCCGGCGGGGAGTTGCCCTTTGGAGGATCTCGGTAGGATACCGCAGAAGAGGTGTGGGTGCTCGGAAGCGGGCGATAGAGGACTGAGTGTGGGGTCGCTCCCTGGAGGATCTCGTTCAGAATTCCGCAGAGGGAAGATTCTCCCGTGTGGTCGACTATGTTAAAGAATGTTGTCTTTGAGAGTGAGGGTTCTCTCATTTGTTTCCTCGATGTGCGATTTTTAGGGTATAATCGCTGAGGAATAGCTCTCGGTAGGGGTCCCGAGAGTAAGTCGACTGGAGAAGCCTTGTGGATTTCGGCGCGATGCCGCAGAAGGGGAGATGATTTTCTTCACCTGGCCTTTATTACCAAGAGAAGTCGAGCGTGTGTAAGGGACTTCGGTCCATCCATTCATCTCTGAAATCCTCGCTGCTGGCCTGGCCACGGAGAAAAATAAAACCAAATGGAAACCGCAAAGTAAATAAAACCAAATGGAAACCGCAAAGTAAATAAAACCAAATGGAAACCGCAAAGTAAATAAAATCAAATGGAAACCGCAAATACAAATACCAAATGGAAACCGCAAAGAAAAAAGATTGGTATTGTACCGATCACATTTCTCCAAAGTGGCCTGAGCATAGTGGCGGAGTAATGTCTCTTGGGTCTGGGGGCGGCGGTTGGCTCTATATTCTAGGGTCCCCGTCGCTCACCAAAGGGCAACCAACGAGGAGATTGACTTGATTAACTATCCTCATAGTCACCAACTCACCGAACTCGTGTGGGAGAAGACTCTAACAAGCTCCGGAGTGGGTGTAGGAACAACCCTTGAGTAGTAACAGGCACTTGCGGGAGCCTGCGAGAGCTCGCCTGGGCTTCCGAACCCATGAAGGGCTATTGCGAAGAAAGGGAGCCTATGACGGCGGGTAGTTTCAGCGGGTGCCCACGCTAACTACTCCTACTTGGCTATCCGGGTACGTAGTCCGATAAAGCCGTATAGGCTAGGTGCGGACGTTAAAGATCCTCTTGTCTTGTTGACGATGAGTAATCGGGAACGGAATATCGAACGTTGTAGCCCTGCGTATTGTCAATACTTCGAATATGTCATAATATTACATAAAGCGAAAAGTCCGTAATGTTACCTTCACTCTTTATCATTGATCTGATGTTTATTTAGAAATCGTTAGATGCGGTCTGGTGTGATGTAGGTTTCAGAAAAACATTTTCTTTATTGTGCCAACGTTTCGATCTTTATTGAGATCATCTTTAGCCGACGCCTTATACAAAAATGTCTTTTCTATACCGACATCCTTCCCAACCCCTTCAAAATCCAACGTATATAAACACAAAATAGCAAAATCTCACTGGCACTCTCGACACGACACGCAAGAATGACACAGTTACACAGAAGACAAACACTTTGAGTGAGTAGAAATACTTTGATTGAATATATAAAATATATTTTGCATTGTATAAATTCACTTTTCCACATCCAAAATGTAATTGTAATATGTAAACAATGTTTGTAAATCCCAGGCCCTGAAGATGATCTCAATAAAGATCGAAACATTGGCACGATAAAGAAAATGTTTTTCTGAAACCTACATCACACCAGACCGCATCTCACGATTTCTAAATAAATATCGATTAACGGTCACTAATCACCGCACATCTGATGCTTTAATCGACCAGCCTATTGTTGATTGAGACATTTCAAGCAGGGAATTGTTGTTGTACATTTTTTGGTTGGCCTACAAATAAAATCTTAAATGCCATTTTATCATTAATTGTTATACTTTTATCATGATTGGTTTCTTTGCCTTAGAAACCGTAAGAAACCGTGATTAAAACATCAATATGATGAGAATTTATCGATAAAATTTCTCTTCTCACCAACGCATAAAATCTTAAACCATTATTAGCTTCTATTGAATTTGTTCAATATTGCCCATGTGTGGCTTAGAAATCCTTTTACTCTGAGCGTACGTGCGCAGGGATTAAAATGATGACTCCAGATGGTTTTACTTAAGCAAGACGGTCGTTATCTCAAAACCTAAAACGCATTTCAGCATCTTTTCCCTCTTTGGTGGTCATAATTATGATCAAATGGATATTTTTATAACTAATTAATTATTAAGATGTTGAGTAATTGGATAAGGGATTATTTATTGACAGGCAATCTTGGCCATTTATAGACCATAAGGAAAGTAATGTATCTCCGATCCATGAGGTTTTATACCACGTCGGTCATAAACGAAATTATGAAATATACGAGTTGTACATGTTTAAAATTTATATGACAAGCAATTTGAAATTTTCTTAGGTTTAAAAAAATGGATTTGGTTTTAACGAGGCGTGTTAAGTCAATTAAGCACGACGAAGCGTTTCAGAAGACTGATCTTTCTCCCTAAAATGTCAGACGTGTCGTTAAATATACTTAACGTTTCGATTTTGTCGTACTTGCGACACGTAAAAGGTAACAGAAATGCACTTTTCCCCCCAAGAGGCGCTAAACGTTTTTCGATAGTGGTGCAATTGTTGCCCAAGATGCATCATGCACAACTAACCACAAAGGCACACAAAATTAACTTATGATGCACACCCCCTTCTCAGTTCACCGGCGAAAATAGCAGTTTAGCATTTCAGTAACACAGTGGATAACGCTATTTAACACAGTTGACAAATATAAAATATATTCATTTATAATACAATTTTTTACTCTACAAATAAAACCACAATTTTCCGCAAATAACTAACACATAATTTGTAATAACATTTTACAAAAGAGAGTTCTTTATATTAAGATTTCAATATTTTTCCTCATGAATGTCACAAAAATAACATAAAATTAACTGTCTGTAGTAATTCTGGGATAAATGTATGCCAATGTATGTATCCAGTAATCTTTATGATCCATACGAAAATCCATACTTTTACTAACTTCTAATGCTAATTAGTATTTTTTTTAAATCATCTAAATACACATATTTTTGGCCACATTTATTCAAATTGCTTGTACAGAGATTTTTAAATAATTCACAACTAGAAACTAGGTAATATTATAACTTATTAATAATGAAACGATGATAACCGTACCACAGAACTGGAGCCATTCTTGAAATTATTCTGTTTTAGGAAGAATATGTGTAGTATTTGAAATTTATCGGTAATTCAATCTCACTTCCACTAGTTTACATCAAATCCGGCTTTGGACAAGTGTATACCAATGTATTGAATCTGTTCTTCGGTCATTTGCCAATCATTTTGGTCCGTCTACCTTCGCTGTTTTTGTCGGTCAGACGTGTTCCGGCATCTCACCGTTTTCAGTGATGGGTTTTTACAAGGAGAAATTTCATAAAATATTGAAGTTCAAAAACTTTTTTGGAAGGGGCGTTGTCAATCATATAGTGCTGACCTACTTGATGAAAAATTCGTCTAAGATTCGCTGACAACGCTGAAAAGAGGGTAGATGAATTTATGAAATGTAATGTAAATAATAAAGGATAAAATTAAATCTCAAGATCAATTAAGAAAAAATGGTTTTCGTGAAACATGGCCTGTGGTAAAAGGTTTTGGGTTGCAAATTAATTATTTGGGCCAACTGATAAGATTTACTATAAAAATGTGAAAAAGAGGTAAGAATTTGTTATGAAAATATACTGGGGTCTAAAACACTTCCATGAAAAACTAAATGTAAGAGAGAAAAGATAGCCACGAGCGGAATTTCCTCAAGGTTCGGCCTGAATAGTCCAAGCCTTGAGGAATTCCTCAATGTGTACAGAGTATTAGGCATTTATCTTGAGGATTTCCTTGAGATAATCCTCTAGGTGTGTGGGCGCGGGCTCGGAAGAGGAAACCTGGAGGCTTTTTCCTTGAGGATTTCATGTACATATATGACTACATAAAGAGAGAGAGAGAGAGAGAGAGAGAGAGAGAGAGAGAGAGAGAGAGGAGCGGAATTTCCTTAAGGTTCGCCTGAACAGTCCAACGTTTCAGTAATTCCTCAACAAGTGTTGCGGCGTCCTACAGGCCGCGTTCGGAGGTAAATCCCGAACAAAATTCAATTCCTTTTCCGCCTTGAGGCCAAAACGGTGAGATCAATCAACAACCTCCACTACTCAACACAAAACTAGGCATTTGCCTTGAAGATTTCCTTGGTGAAAATCCTCTTGGTGTGGGCGCGGGTTATGTAGAGGAAATTCCCAGGGAAATCCGGGAGGCTTTTTCCTTAAGGATTTTCTGTACATGTATGGCTACAGAGAAAGAGATGGGGGAGAGATACATAGATAGATAGATAGATAGATCGATGGATAGATAGAGAGAGAGAGAGAAAGAAAGAGAGAGAGAGAGAGGGAGAGAGAGAAAGGAGCGACAGAGAAATAGAGTAAAGGTCGCTATATAAGAGCGGAATTTCCTCAAGGTTCGCCTATCAGTCCAAGTTTCCAAGCTTTCAATAATTCCTCAACTTGTTGTGGCGTCCTTCCGCACGTTGGGAGGGAAATCCCGAACAAAATTCAATTCTTTGAGAATAACTTCTCTTACGCTGAGAATAACCAACAACCTCCACCAGTCAACAAAAAACTAGACCTTTACCTTCAGGATTTCCTTGATGAAAATCCTCTCTGTGTGAGCACGGGTTAGGTAGAGGAAATTCCCAGGGAAATCTGGGAGGCTATTTTCTTGAGGGTTTCCTGTCCGCGTATGGCTACCGTCAGGAAGGGTTTTTTACACGAAAGAAGAAGAGCAGGAGGTAAGTCAGAAGCACTTGATAGGAGTCTAAGTTAAACTAAGTTTAAAAATGTTTAACGTAGATGGAAAAAGTCTTCATATGGTACTTTTGCATAATTGTTGAGTATTATTTTTAGTATTAGTAATTTTGTGGCGCGGGGAGAGGGCGTGTTTGGAGGCGAGTATCACCAAAGGGGGTGGGGTTGTGATTGTGTGGCAGGCCTGTACCTCCACCCGGTTCCCCGCTCATTCCCCGTTCGACTTCCGCCGAGTGAGGATCTCTTGCGCCGACCTTCGAAATACGATTTCTTGTGTGACATGTTAGCGATATGTGCCCGCAATAAGTAACGCGCGAAAATTATTTTTTTTTGCTTTTGTGCAACGACCCGATCTTGCGCGAGCGACTGTGACGGACCAGACCGCATCCCCCGCCTCCAGTGGAATTGGCGCTTCCCGAGAGACCCATCGGCTCCTGTGAAAATATGGAAGCCACATATTGCATCGGATCCGACATGGACGTCTGCAGAATGTTCGACCAGTATCTGTACAAGGTGAGTCGGTTTAAGTTAGCCCGCCACGAGTCGAGCCGGTGCACAAGCAACCCACCCCCTTCATGCAATCATTTGTCATTCTTCACTCTTTTTCTCCATTATGATCATTTTTCTTCTTCACCTTTACATTAAAACGCATGCCTCTCGGCCCTTCCACGCATCGACTACCTATCGTTTTTTTTATTAACTAGAAAAAATTTAGGAAAGTCTACAAATCGAACTTTTTACATTCCTAAAGTCAATTTATTTTTAGAGAAAATTCAGTCATGAAATTAATTAAATTAAAACATGAACTATTTGTATTGCATTCTACACTCATAGTCATAGTGGAAATGAATAAATAAAATCTTAGGTTAAATTTTTTCGTTAAAAAATTCGACAGGCTAGCCACTCTAACAGAAAAATATCAGATTCGGGGCTGTTTTTCTTGACGTTGTCTACGCCCCCGACAATTTTTTAAAAAATTTTCATTGGTCACGATTAAGCGGGATAATTGCAATAAGTAAATCCCACAAGGAGACGAAACACCTTTAAAATGAAATTTTTACTAGCGTGTAATATTTAGATGTAGGTTTAGACAAACATTTTGTTTATCGGTCGTTTCGATCTTTATTGAGACCATCTTCAGGGCCTGGGATTTATAAACATGGCGTAAATTATATAAATATATCTATAACTTATGAATATGAATTTATACAATGACGTACACAATATAGAAATTTTAGGTTCAATCAAAGTATTCACTCAAAGTGTGTCTTTTCTGTGTAGATGTGTCGTTGTTTTTTTTTACCAGTTATTTGAAGATCGTGAGATGAGGTCTTGTGTGATGTTTACAAAAACATTTTCTTTATCGTGCCAACGTTTCGAACTTTATTTAGATCATCTTCAAGGCTCAAAGTGTGTGTTTTCAGTGTAGATGTGTCACCGTTGTGCGTCGTGTTGCGAGTGTTTTTTACTAGTTTGTTTTAAAAAAGGACCAGTTGGCTTGCCGTCAAAATTATTATTATATCGCATTTTCAAACAATTTTTCCAAACAACATGTAAGCGTAATATTTACTTTTTAATATTTTCTTGTCTTTTTTTGGAAATCAGCTCATGAATATAAAAAATAAGCAGCTCGTACTTGTTCATACTAGGTCGGAAGTGTCCAAAAATAGGGATTAGTTAAACCAAAAGCAGCCTTTTTGTTTTGTCCAATTTTAATTCTTTATTTTACCTTAATACTTCTTCTTCATTTAGACTGAATGTCAAAAGGGACCGAAACATGTGAATTATTTATACTAATGTTTTTTAGTTTTTTTATCAACTCAAACTTATTTAATGTAATATGAGTTATTACGGTTTATGGGATTTGTTTAAAAATCTGCAGAGTTTTTCTAAGTTCTAAGGGGGTGATTGAAACCGAATCAATGTTAATTTGAAATATTTTGAAAATTACAACAATAACGAAATAACTAATAATAGAATTTACTTCGTCCCCCAATCCGAGTTAAGATACAAATAGGCTACCTCAAACCATTCGGACGATTTAATCGATGTTCGATTTCAAAAATTGTAAAATTTAGAACAATTTTTGAATCGTTGAACAAAATCGAAATAGGAAAATGTGGCGTGGGGCCGATGGTTGAACGTGAGAACAGGCCGGCAAGTGATGATGAATTCCAACAAACTGCTGGCAACAGTTTATCAACTCGCAGTCGGCCCAACGTGATTTCAAACTAAAAGTAGTCTAACAGAGGTCTTTCTGTCTTGAATAAATGACTTTATAACGGCCATTTTTTTCACATTTTCCCCATAAGGTAGACTTTAGAAACCCACCGAACACACGAATCATATGAAAATGGTCTAAGCCTGGAATATTATTAAAATCTGCAATTACATTATTTAGTTTGGTGATACATAGATTTACACACTTATTTCAAGGGAGTAATTATTTATTACAATATTATTTTTTTCAGTTTCATTAAATAAACTTTACTACCTACACCTCAGAAAGGAGGTCGCGGGGACATTTCCTCTTAAGAAGCCTTATGAGATTGTAGGGATAGGTTCTGTTACACAAGGCTTGGTCGAGACTACTGGGGTGAGGGGAAAGATTATTGTGAATCAATTAATTTTTGAAAAAATGGGGTTTTAAATTCGTTCTGTAGTGTATTGGAGACCTAAGATGTTGCATTTATAATAGATCTGAGGACTTCAGACTGAAAGGTTTGGAGACGTTGGATATCGGAAATTTTAGGGTGCCCTGCAGTTCTACTCCGTATGTCCAAATCGGTTGTAGTAGAGTTTTGTAAATTTTAAGTTTAATTTTGATCGATAGCTCGGATTGTCGTCTTATAAATTTGTATAATAGACATTAGCGACTCTTTAGATCTTGTCGTTCAGTCATGTATGCTGATTCCATGTTATGCTTGACTCTAGCATTGATTAAACTAATTAATCTGAATCTACCAAGTATTTATACATATTTTAATAATAACAACTCTAAGAAACGATCAAAGAAAGATGGAGATCAATAATCTTTCTGGCCCTCGAAAATAGATTAATCCATTACATTAATATAAAATTCTTAAAAATTATCAAAATATCAATACTTTGATGAAGTTTAATTAGGCCATTGGTTCTGGGGGAATACCATCATGAGTGGTTAATTGGTTTTATTTTCGGGAGTTATATAGTTAGAGTTGTATAACTTATAGCCTAATTAAACTTCATAAAAACATTCACCCCTTAGAACTTAGAAAAACTCATCACATTTTAAAAACATATGACATTAAATAAGTTTGAGTTGATAAAAAAAACTAAAAAACATTAGTATAAATAATTCACAAGTTTCGGTCCCTTTTGACATTCTGTCTATGTTTCCAAACATTCCCCTCAATTTAGCATATGAAATTATAAAAAAACAATTGGTCTAAAATTCAAAATCATACTACATATAAAGTAAAATTTTATTCTTATAAAGCCTCAAAATTTGTAATAATATTTTTTTTTATACAATAACAAAATTTGTTCACAATTTATGGAATTGTAATGGGTGGATCTTTGTCAGTTAATTAGTTATGATGGTGATTAATCGCATAATTACCAAAGCAATAAAGGACAGTATTGAACAGCTTTCAATAATATACAACTACATAGATGATTTTTTTTTCATAATAGAAAAAGACAAACTAGAAATCTTTTTAATCTTCCTAAATCCAGGATTGAAAAAACATTAAATTCACAAAGGAAATTGAAGGAAATAATAGAATAATTTTTTTGGATGTTGCAATAATTAAACAGAAAAATAAACTTAAATTTTTCTAGTTTACCAAACCTACATTTTCTGACAGGTTGTTAAATTATCGATCAAATCACCCTTGCCATTTAAAAATTAATTTAATAAAAAATTTAATCTACAGAGCCCTCAGCCTTTCTAATGAAGAATTTTTGCCTTTTGTCAAACAAAAACTTTGAAACATCAGTACAATGAATGCATACCCCTTTAGTACCAAAAAAAAAACTTTCGTATAAAAAATGATAATAATAAAAAATATTAAAAATAACTCCTCAGAATGTAATACTCCTACAAAAAATTCATCACTTGATAACAATATAAAAAATAAAGGGAACTGAAAAAAATTGGGGTGGCTCTCTTAAATACATCCCATCCTTAACAGATACAATAACAAGAGCCGATTTGGCGATATGGTGTAGGTGACATCCAATTAGGTTTTAACACTAAAGATAAAATTTCTAATGTTTGCCCTCCCATAAAAGGTAAATTGGATCGTAAATACAAAAACAATGTTATTTATAATATTAAATGCATAGATTTAAAAAAAAAAACTACGTAGGCCAACCCAAAAATTTAGGTAATATAATTCAAAACCATTTAAATGACATAATATATAAGAATGATAAAACTAACACCACTGTCATTCCACATAAAACATACAAATCAAAAACTAAGCTGTCATAAAAAAATCCCACCATATTAGATATACAACAAAATAAACATAAGAGAAAAATTTTAGAAACAATATATATTACTAAGTTTACCAGTAATTCTTTAAACAAAAAAAAACAGAGACTAATTTTGAAGTAGGCGAGACTGCTAGGGGAATGTTATTAATTTTTAACCATAAAATAATTGATAAAAATGTAAACTATGAAAATATTATTTTACTACTGTTATAATTAGTTCTAATTTGACTATACTTTTTGTTAGGGTTTGCTGTTGATCTGCGTAAAAAATAGCATTTCGAGCTATTTAGGATAGAGGGAAAAAATAAAATGAGAAATAAACTAACTCTTTATAAAATAAAAAAACACGTGTTTCTTAATAATCTTAATTTAAAAAATAATAAATAAAAAATTATCGTTTATCGCCCGTTTTTTTGCACTTTTGCCGGATCGTGACAATGGTAATGTCAATGTCTTGCGAATGAGGTGGCAAATCACTGTCAGACGTGCAACAACTTTTGCACCGTCACCAATGAAGTGCGAGACCTTGCGTTGTCATGGAGTCTTCTTGTTCATTTATCTCAGTCGAAATGGTAAAGTAAACAGTATAATTTTAATTTTCAAAATGCATAGATTATTAGTCAGAGATGCCCATGGTTTGGTGCAGTCAAAGGTGGTTCGACATTCCTCCTTTGTCATTGGTTTTTTATACAGTAAACAGTAAAAAAAATTGACATTTATCATGGGCTGAATTGTCCTAAAACTTAAAGTTAATCTTGGTGGCATCTAGCGTCGAGGTAACCCATGGGTTATTTTTATTAAAGATAACAGTGGTTCCTCGGCCTCCATGATCTGCGGAAGAAAATTATCCTCACACTTGTCATCTCAGAATCATTTAAACCCAAACAGTCGCTGTTGCTAACATTTTCCCATTGTTCGACTAGGCGTAAAAAGACATTTATTTCTCGATCTTAAACAACAAAGAAAGAAATAATACCAGACATATTCTCAGGGAATGATAATGTGTAAACCTTTTAAGATTGTTTGGTAAG